CCCCGAAGGAAATGAGTAGATACTCAAGTATCACTCTGATCCGGACGAAAGCGCAGATGCCTTGTCTGGATCATATCTCTGAGGTCTTGCCTACCTCCCCTTGACCCGCGATTCCTCCCACCCCTACCCGGGGGGGGGGAGGAGTGCGAGTCGCGACACTAGCCTTTTGTGCCCATCTCTGATCCTCAGACCGAGATAGGCCAGGACCCCTGTGTTGTTCGGGCTCAGGCCTGGACCTTCGTGGAATGAAGGATTTGAAGGCCGCTGAGCGCGCCTTCGCCTCCCTGAATTTCTCAACCACCGTCTCGACAGAGGTACCAAAAATTTCGGAAGGCGAAACCGGAGCATCGAGAAGAAAGCCCCTCTCTTTCTTCCCGATATCTGCCAGGTTCACCCACAGATGTCTCTCCATTACTACCATAGCCACCATGGACCTGCCCATAGCAGAGGCAGCCTGCTTAGTAGCACCGAAAGCGAGATCCGTGGTGCGGTGCAACTCAGCTACCTCATCAGGAGAAAGGCCCTCGCCTTTATCCAGGTCTTTCAGCAGGTCAGCCTGATATGCCTGGAGCACCGCCATTGTGTGCAACAAAGCGACAGCCTGACCTGCTGCTGCGTATGCCCTGCCATTCAAGCGAGAATGAAGGGGCTTAGATGGCAAGGAGGGAGTCCTAAGAGAGAATGTCTCACTCATAGAGAGATAGCTAGCCAGCATCTCTTCTACAGGGGGAATCCTCTCATAGCAGTTTTCGCGCATCGTCTCGATGTTGGCATAACTCGTATGCTGGAATCGATGGATGCATGAGGAAAACGGCCTCTTTCATTCCTTCTCGATCTCTGTATAGAGATCAGGAATAAAAGGAAGGCTCACCTGAGCTGGAGGATTATGGTCAGAAAGATAACGCTCATCGAGACAACCTCGCGACGTCACTTTCTTGGCCCGCTTCCACGGCAAGTCCAGCCTCGCCGTGGCGCGATCCATAACTTCCAGAAGCTCATCATACGCAGGGCAGGAGGACTGAGAAGGCTCAGCCTCAGCTTCTTCGCCTTCCTCAGACATCTCCTGCTCTTCCTGGGCCGAACCCAGCAGAGCACTGGCCCCTGGATCAGACGATGTTAATGAAATAACATCATCCTCCAGCGGCTCACTCTCATCCACAGCCGACGAGCGCGAGAGGGAAAGCCTCTCTTTAAACTCATCGGCCAGATCCACCTGCAATCCCCACAAGCTCATTCTCCTCCGTGCCTCAGCAGCGGCGGTTCCTGAACCATGGGGAGCAGATGACTGCCCCTCTTTCCTCAAAAAGAGAGACAAATGAGAGCTGAGCTTTTTCATTGGAAAAAGCTCTCAGTGAACGCAGATCGCCCCTCGAGGACATCGCGTGCATGCTCTTCACCCAAACAAAAAACGCAGTTCGTGTGTGTCATCAGGTGTCAAATAACGACAACACGGATGCACACATCCTCTAAACGCCTTGCTAGTGCTCGCCATAATGATAGGATTAGAGATCACTCTTACCACGGAAATGCATGCTTCAAACAAAACAGTAAGTGAAGACGAAGAAGAGGATGACTTGTTCTCCTGGCGCCTATTTATACTATAGTCACACCGGTAGTGACGTCATGGGCTGTCACCGGCCAACAAGTTGTTGGTGTTTTTTGAATGTATGCTTCAGACACAGGTCACGACGAGGTGTTCCCCATAGCAACCCCTAGAGGACGCAGTTCGAAGTTCTCTTGAAAGGGAATCTTAATTACCTCAGTACATTGAGTTGACAGTTTGGACTCTGTAATGCAGCAAACAGCAGCTTTACTCCTGAATCCTGCAGGTCATTGCTACTCAGGTCCAGCTCTCTCAGGGAGGATGATGACGATTGTAGGGCTGAAGCCACAATTTCACAGCTCTGATGAGTGAGACTACAGCCAGCCAATCTAAATAGAGTAACAGGAATTAATTAATTACATACAAAATATAGATAGCAATTGATGTTTGCGAGCATTGTGTGCATTTTCTTGTGTTTCTGATAAGAAGGTGTCTGCATAAAACATAAATGTAAATGTTTACGTTCCATTGTGATGCCAAGGTATTTTGTATGAAGGTAATGTTGACAACATCACATTATATTAAAGTTGTCTTTAACCATGTCATCGTAAGATTTTGAAGTCACCATAATAGTCATACATGTTCCATTTAATTGGGACATACGACCTTCGACCTTGTTCATATTCAATTTTCTTATCTAGCCATGTCAGAAGTGTGACAAATGAAAACATTCATTAAAATGATGACAAGCTAGAATATAAGATAGGCTAATTGGCTAATTTTATGTTATTCAAACAGTCAATATGGAGAATTTATTTTGGCATTACATAGGTTATTACTTACCAACAACTTATTTTAAATTCATAGTAATTTGTATAAGGATCTTTCACAAAAGACAAGCAACTGCTGAGGTACAGCTTTGAAAAATGTGACATCATACAACACAAGCTTTTTATTTTTCCTTACAAACATCACATCATGATGCACAAAAAATCACAACAATGGTGAACTCTGAACATTACAAAATAAACCAACAATACAAACTGCTAAAAGATAACCAACATGTTCAGAAGCACTGATAAAACCAACAAGTATCAAAAATATAATTTTTAGAATATTAATTTTCAACTTGACAAATTCATAGTTATTAAATTTATGAAGATTAGTTGGAATAACTTTATGCAGAACTAGCTTTTTTAAGTTTTCACTATCAAAGTTCATGTTCATGTTCTTTTAACTTAACTTTTTGAGTTATCTTTTTACATTGACTCATTTAAGCTGTATTTGCTTAGAATATTAAGTATTTTCAACTTGACAAATTAAGAGTTATTGAACTAAAAAATTATAGTTGGAGTAACAAGGACTTTAAACATTAGGGATCTGTTGAGGTCTCTTTCCTCACAGGCTGGGGACTCAGAACATTGTTGATCTTTTTCTGTCTCTCCCCTTACAGGACTGAGACTCAGAGCAATAAATGTCTGTTGGAAGAGGTAGATTTTTCCTTTTCCGGTGAGGAGGAGATGACAATTTGGCACTTCTCAATTCCAGTGCTGTGATTGGTTGCTTGCTAGCATTGGTGGGAGGAGGGTTACACTGTTATACAATTTAGTCACAAAGGTACCAATACTCTTGTTATAGGGTACACCGAGTGTACCCTAAAGGTACTGGCCCGTGACAAGCCATTGTAATTGTTTGTACTATTAGTTGCACGTTTTTTTATAAACCATATGATAATAATGAGCCTTTAATTGCCTATAGCCTAATAAGTGCTCATGCACATGCAAAAAAAGCTTAACAGTGCACCAGCAGATATAATAATTATGAATGTGTCAGGGAAAAACAGCAAGGAGACTGCATTAACGTTTTAATAATTTATTGATAAGCTAGTTCTTTCTTTCTTTTCAGCTTAAGAGATGAAGTCGGCGACACTGACTCGTCATCTCCGCAGTAGCGATGCGCCTATATGCATGTTTCCTAAAGATTACCTAATCTGAGAATATTTGTTTTCCATTTGAATTAATTCATTTGAAAGTAGAAATTTCACTCTCTATAGATATATTTTTCATGTCTGTAAGGCAAGTATACACAGAGTTTCAAAGTTTTGCGCTCAAGCTCACAGAGACCGAGTCAGCAGAAAGTGCGTCCAGTTTTCTTTAATTATTTTACAAAAGTGCAACGTTTCGCTTTGTAATTCACAGTTTTCTGTCACAGACTGCGTGACTTCGCCGCTTCCTGTGGAATATTTTTTTTTCCTGCAACTAAGCGACTAATAAAATTTTGGTCAACCAAGCCTCTTCTCGTTGACTAACGGTTAGTCGACTATTAGGGGGCAGCCCTAGAAAGCAGTAAAGACTGCTTGTCAAATATTTAACTATAATCGAGCTGGCTACAACAAGCAGCCATATCGCCCTGCAGCCCAAGACTGGTTGCCCACTGAAGCTAAGCAAGGGTTGAGTCTGGTCAGTACCTGAATGGGAGACCTCCTGAGAAAATTAGGTTGTTGCTGCAAGAGGTGTTAGTGAGGCCAGCAGGGGGTGCTCACCCTGTGGTCTGTGTGGGTCCTAACACCCCAGTATAGTGATGGGACACTATACTGTCAAAAAGCACCGTCCTTTGGATGAGACGTTAAACTGAGGTCCTGACTCTCTGTAGTCATTAAAAATCCCATCTTTCGAAAAGAGTAGAGGTGTGACCTCGGCATCCTGGCCAAATTTGCCCATTGGCCTCTGACCATCATGGCCTCCTAACAATCCCCATATCTGCTGATTGGCTTCATCACTCTGTCTCCTCTCCCCCAATAAGCTGGTGTGTGGTGAGCGTTCTGGCACACTATGGCTGCCTTCACATCATACAGGTGGATGCTGCATGCTGGTGGTGGATGAGAAGATACCCCCTCACAATGTAGAGCGCTTTGAGTGCTTAGAAAAGCAAAAAAGCGCTATATAAATGTAATGAATTATTGTTATTATTATTATTACATTGCACAATGAATCTCTCACGTGCATTGTGTGTGCACTTTGTTGATTATAATAGAGATCTTGTTTTATTTATTTGTTTCTTTTGTCAACATCCCACTAGCGGCACACTGAGAAAAATGACTTAGTGGAGTTGTAATTTTAACTGCAAAATAATTTAAATTGTAAAATCAATATTTCAACAAATAAATCTATGTATGGTACTTTACTTAAAAGACTAACAGGTGGATTGGGCTGTAAAAGATGCAAATCTTGACTGAGGCCATTTTTTAATTTTCGGTTCAACGGGTGACAGGACTGCATTTGATGCAGGGCACTGAGGTTTCTGCATCAACTCAAAGGGCACTGAAAAGGCAAGAATTAAAGTGCCCCTATAATGGGTTATGAAGGTTAATATTTTGGTTTTGGGAGACCCCAACAACAGGTTGACATGCATGCAATATTCATTTATTTTTACTTTAACTGCTCAACGACTCCCAAGTGATTCGTTCAAAAATGCATTTTTTCCAAACCCCTCCCCTTTGCTTGACGCTAATCTGCGGTGATTAACCTTTTTCGTTTTCTTAATGGACACTTTTAGTAATATACTATTGTTTTAACATTTTTGCCTTAAGCTACTGATTGTATATAACTGATGAAGATATTTGACTAGTTTTAGTCAAATATCCTTTAGTTTTCCTTTATTATCTGTTAAAATAATATTAAATATGTATTTAAACTTCAGAAAATAAAGTAGTTTCGTAAGCATTTAATGGTACACAAATGACTGAACAGTCGGAGTTAGCAGAGATGTTCATTCTGTGTTGGGGTTTGGGGAAAGCGCTATGCGGTAATTGCTTTACTTTCATTTTAAGGAGTTTGACATCAACATTGAGCTAATTTGTGACTTTGGCGCTTCTCCGTCATAAATCTTCTCCGTCAGAGGCCAGCGGCAGCGAAAAAGGTAAGAAATACATTAAATATGAGCGGATCAGTGGTGGAATGCTTTAATATCACAAAATATGCCATGATGAAGATAGCTGGTTTACATAAATTACTCTAGTATTGTACACCATAATCAAAAAAATTTTTACATCTGTAATGCAACTCCTCAATGATTTGAAGTCACTGCTTGTATACAACGTAAATAAATATTTATTAAGATATTTATAGTCTTTTATTTAATAATGTCTTGAAATTATATGAAATATGTCTTTAAACGTTTGAAAAAAAAAGTTTATCCTAACGCATTTACATAAATGACAACGTGTTTGGACAACATCTCATGCAGTAATCGCTACTTTTTTTGCTTTAATTTGAAGGAGTGTGACATCAAAATTGAGCTCTCATTATGACTGGGATGCTTCAGAACTATTAACATGTAAGGAGCAAGGGACAAGACTAAAATCTTATCCGTCAGAGAACAACTGCACTAAAAAAGGTAAGAATCACATTAAATATGACCACATTGATGCTGCAATGTTGTAAAGGCACTATTGTAATGGGGTATAAATTAAATATAATTACTATGTTCCTACTTCTTACTAGTTAACATTTAGTTTGTGCTTGTTTTTCTTTATTTCGTTGGACAAGCAGTTGTTTTAGAATATAATAATAAAAGAATAGAATAGAACAGAAAAGAATAATAATCAAGCAATAAATCTATCTAAATTATTAATTTCAATTAAATGAAATGGAATAAAATTAAATGAAATTAAAGTAAAATCTTTGTCTGCTTACACTGTTTTTACTACACAGGATCTAGATGATGAAGATGCCATGCAAATCCAAGAAAATCCAATCACCTCCCATTAACAATCCCACACCTCTGAAATGAAAATTCTCTCATTTACTTATTTGTCACTCCAAACATGTACGACTTTTATTCATCTTCGAAACACAAATGAACATTTTAAATTAAATCTGACAGATTTCTGTCCCTCCTTTGTCAGTCTATGCAACTACCACTTTGATGCTTTAAAAAGTTCATAGTGCAGTTTTTAATTAATATTTTCTGAAGAGCCATGATTGCTTTCATGCAGTTTTAATTCAGCCTTTTATTCACATATAATCATGGATCAGGGAACATAAACAGAAGTACTTGCTTGACACATAAGAACAAACCTCATTGGTGCAACACAAGAATGAACCTCATTGGTTCTCACATATCAAGCAGGCATGTTTGAGCCTCTGTTTGCCATAACTGATCTGCCATTGATGAATGTGTAAATGTGAATAAAAGCTAAGTTAGATCTGTTCATCATATAAAGTGATGAAGTCTCTTCAGAACATTTTGACTAAACTGCTCTATTCGTATGGATTAGTTTTATGATCTCTTTATAAACTTTTTGAAGCGTCAAAGTGGTTGTTGCATGAACTGTCAAGGGAGGGACAGACACCTCTCATATTTCATTAAAAATATCTTTATCTGTGTT